TACGGCAAGGATACACGAATTACAAGAGATGCTGAATGGAATTCAAAATACATTTGGCAAATAATGTGATCTATCTATCTATCTATCTATCTATCTATCTATCCATCTATCTACAGTTGTGCTCATACGTTTACATACTGTTGTGGAAATTTTATTAGGATGTGTTTTTAGTGTATTGTAATATTTTGTCATTATGTCTCTCAGTGTCTAGGTTTAAATAGGCACTCGGGTTAAACCATTGGAGTAGATATCTTATGCGCGGCGGAGCAGTGTCTTCTTGGCGAATGTATGGATTTATTGGCTGGTGTGTATACAACTTGCTTTGAGGACATAGTATTATTTAAGATACATATCTGCCTTTATGAAAGGAACGTGCGTTTGTTGTCTCTAGTGCACCTGAACAACCGCTGTAGATAATATAACATTGTCCCCGTAAATAAGCACGCATGAGAATCATAGTAACTTTATTGGGCATTGCTCACTCCGATGGTAATAGATAACGATTATTTGACGGCACACCAGAAAATATCTCACGGCACACTAGTGTGCCGCGGCACAGTGGTTGAAAAACACTGGACTATTGTATTCGATTACCTTATACATGTGTTTTGTTAGCTGGCTATGTTGAAGTGATGGTGGTTTCCTGTCCACTTCCTGTCTGCCCCACTTTCTGTCTGCCCCACTTCCTGTCTGACATCACTTCCTGTCTGACATCACTTCCTGTCGGGCAGATATAAAACAATAAACAAAGGCCTGTGATTGGTCTCTTAGCATGGATCTTGAAGCAAGCCACACCTGTCTCCTGTGTCCTAACTCTACATGACTCAAAAGAGGTACTGCCAGTCCTCGCACAAAAGAGCGTAATACAACTGTGCTTTTAAGCACGGGGGAAATTCTTTGTGTTTGACATACTTTGGCGCACTCTAGCGCAGCATGGATTTGTGCGTTGAACCAAGCGATTTCCCATAACAATACCCTGGCAGAAGTTATGATTTCCTGGCCATTTTATATATATGAATAACACGAAAACCTTTCTGTCACTCATGGGTAGTGTTTGGCTGAAGCCATTTATTATCAACCAACTGTGTTTACTCTTTTCCAATCATAATGACAACAGAAACTACCCAAATGACCCTGATCAATAGTTTACGTACCCCAGTTCTTAATACCCCCCTTTAACATCAATGACAGCTTAGAAAGTTGACCACCACTGATTTATAGGATGCATTAGAGCCTACCACAAAAGTACTGACGACCCTCAATGCACAAAATATTGTTATCCCGGCCTCCTCCAGTATTATCGTGCTGCTGGCCAATCATGCATTAAATAATTAAAACAAGTAAATAATATTCTTAAAGATTAAAACTACACAATCAATATTTAAATAAAAAACTGTTTCTAACCTTTTCCAAACCTCGCATTGCCTGCTAATTTAAAAATTAAAGTGCATGTAAAATAAGAATTAAAAATCGTTGGGAGGTAAATATTTTTGGTAGCAGAGACATGCCAAAATATTTGTTCTTCTCTCCGCCAGCAATTTTATATTTTCTGTGTACATTGTATACCGCATCCACTCAGCAGAGTACATACTCAGCCCATTCATGGGCATCTCTAAGATGCCATACTTGTGCCTGATCCTAGGGAGGATGTAACTCTTGTACACATTTGCAGGAGTTACATCATCAGTGGCCACCCAATGGCTAAAGAGGGTGTCTGGGGACCCGGAATTGTCAATGGCAATGGCGGGGGACAGAGCAAGGGATCAAAGATCGATCCAACAACGCTGGAGTAGGGTACATTTGCAAGATAAGTGTGCCATGCATAACATGGATCAAAAACCCACCCTTTACATAGGAGTATACTACTGCATTAAGTCCAGTCTATTTCAGGCCCTGTTGCTCAGTGCCTTATTCTGTGCAAATCTCAAATTCCAAGTCCAGTAAATTTTTTTAAATTAATCGCATAATGCAAATACATAACTGTACTGACCACATACCATCAATCCTGTACCATCCTACTTTCACCCTCTCATGTTCTTTGGTGTACTGTATACTCTCATATACAGTACATCTGTCTGCATTATGTAACATACTGGCACACAATACTTTACAATGTTGGCACACAATACTTCACAATGTAGTGTGTACAGTACAAAGCACATATACACTGTTTCATTATATAGCAAATATCCAAAACTCTAGTTAGCAATGATGACAATCCTCTCTCCCTGCCTTACACTATAGAATGTCAGCATGCCAACCCAGTATCATATGACAAGTGTGACAGCCAGTCATATAAATGTTATAGCTCATAATCTATGCACTAAATACATTCTAGCAATCCATCTGCATCACAACTGTTTGAAGGGGATTTGAAGCCCAGATTTGATGTAAACACACAGATTTGACACTTCTCCATATTCAAAGACTTTGCAGTAGCTTTGCTTTTCCCGGGAAAGCTGATTTATGAATACCAATATCTACACATTGAGTACATGAATATTTTGTTTAAATGCAATCACATAAAGACCTGTGACTGAATGTACTCAGTGGTCCTGATCTGAAGGGTGAGTCTCTCAGACTCATGCTTCTAATATGAGAAAAAAGCTTTGAACATCTCACTCCTCAATGCACAGAAGCCTAACAGACATGATTTTGTATGGGGTGTACATTGAGATCGTGAGGAACCCTCATGTATACTGTGAGATATGCCACATCACCTCTGTAGAGTTTATGAAGACTGAACTTCATATTTCACAAGCATTCATGTAAGGCAAAATGCCAAAACTCACTGCAGCCAATCAATCTTCATTTTATAATAGTTAAATCAATTAAAAGAGTCTACTAATTGCTTTCAGATAGTGCCTTTTGCTCATACAAATATTTCTCTTTGTGCTTTGTTTTTGTTTTTTTGCCGGTAACATCATGTTTGTTAAAGGCTCAGTCCACCCAAAATTGGTATCTCAGTGTTTGGTAGTTGCTGAACAGTAAAACCCCTGAACGTTTCTTCTATCTATCGGGAACTCTATTGGAGGGATCTCTGTGCTGAGTTCTCAGGTCTACATACCTTCTGTGCCCATTATGAGGAGCTCCCACTAGCTCTGTGCTGAGTTTCCGGGTCTGAACAACTGCTGTGTCCATTATGAGAGACTCCCACCATACCTGTTTTGAGTTCCTGAATCTGTGCACAACTGATGTCATTTTAAGGAGCTCCCACCTTCCCTATGCTGAATTTTCAGGTCTGCCCATCTGGTGTGCGCATTATGAGGGGCTCCTACCATCCCTGTGCTGCATTTCCAGGTCTGCACACCTGTTGTGCCCATTATGAGGGGCTCCCAACATCCCTGTGCTGAGTTCCCGGGTCTGCACACCTGCTGTGACAATTATGAGGGGCTCCCACCATCCCTTTGCTGAGTTTCCAGGTTTGCACACTTGCCGCGCCCATTATGAGGGGCTCCACCTTCCCTATGATGAAATTCCAGGTCTGCACACCTGCTGTGCCCATTATGGGGGGCTCCCAACATCCCTGTGCTGAGTTCCCGGGTCTGCACACCTGCTGTGACAATTATGAGGGGCTCCCACCATCCCTTTGATGAGTTTCCAGGTTTGCACACTTGGCGCGCCCATTATGAGGGGCTCCACCTTCCCTATGATGAAATTCCAGGTCTGCACACCTGCTGTGCCCATTATGAGGGGCTCCCACCTTCCCTATGCTGAAATTCCAGGTCTGTACACCTGCTGTGCCCATTATGAGGGGCTCCCACTATGCCTGCTGATATTTTATTTAATGCCATGGGGAATATAATTGGATGAACTGGAACACAAATGGGTTGGCAACACCGAAAACACCCAGTTGGGCATCAACAGAGCCAAGCATTATTGCAGGAAGATCTCGATGTTAGAGTGTCTAAAGCTGCCCATACACCTTACAACCATTGCAGGACTTGAGTTGTGCGATGGTTGTAAGGTAATTCAAATCTCGTACAATCTGCCCATCTTGGACAGGCAGATCGTACTTGCGATCATCGCAGCCCTCCCCACTGAGCCCTCCGCTCATGTGCACACCGGCCCGTTCGGCATTTGTCTTCCGAGCACGCCACTAACCCTCCAAAAATCTTATGATTTTCGGCAGATTTTCAAGCGTGCTCGGAAGACAAAAGACGTGTGACCGTACAGTAGAAACGGATGCACGCCTTCCATACACCTGGTGATTATCGTACGATCGCGGGATCACCCGCGATTATCGTACGATAATCGGCAGGTGTATGGGCACCTTTAGACATAGAGAAGAGCCAGGGGCTGACTCATCACATCTGACTCCATCTATAATGAAAATATCACTTTTGGGTGTACTGACTCTTTCATTATGATTAACACATCTGAAAAAGTAGTCATTAACAAAGTGCACAGTTGTCAAATGAGTCCCAGTGTTGGTCCCAGGTTCCTCCAAGACCAGTACAGTGCATAGATAAGGTTCTATTCCCAAAGCTAACACACCTGGATAAGCGTCCTTTCTTCCAAACATGAGTTATTTTCAGTCCAATGAGATTTGAAAATGACAGTCACATGGCTAAAATAAAGATCCTGGTGTTAAAGGTTTGTAAATTGAGCCTATTGCATTGTAATAAGTAATCCTAGATACGTGCTAGAATGAGGAGCGCACAGCACCGTGTCCTCCTCCTACAGGCTCAGCAGCAGAGAGTCCCTGGAATTGATCATTTCAAAGCCTTGCAGTATACGGTGTATATGCCTTGTCTAGAATCCCTGCTCCAGGCTTTGAATCCACCTGATTCCCCTGTAGCCTCTCTGTGCTGTGCAGAGGCGATGCTGCAGGCTCCCCCAGCATCCAAACACATCCCTGCCAGCCTGGTCCTCTGTAAAGTGACATGAAGCATGCACAGACAAGCCTGCTGGGGGCTGCTGGCCCTGGTACGTTGCCCCCTCTGCCTGCACTGTGGTGCCTGGGATTCGGTGTGTGTGTATGTGACACAGCCGCTTACCTTATTATTAATGCTTCCTGTAACATCAGACAGAGCCGTCTCTCTCTGCGCAGCCACACAGTGTCCTCATCCCCAGCATCACATCACAGGGAGGCTGCGGTGTCAGCCTCTCCCTGCTCAGCCCTCCTGTGATTGGACGTTGCCTGAACAGTAGATCCTCCCTCCCTGATGCTCCTGTACCATCAGGTCAAGATGCATAATTTAGTGAAACAACTGGTAGGCAGGCTGGATCAACTATCAGATAAACAGAGCACAAAAGAGACTTCTGCCTGGTGGTGCCTGTGCCCATCACAATGCCCAGCGCTGCAGACTTCATAGGATGCTCAGCATGAAGCTGTACACACATGTATCAATATGATCCTTCAATTGATCATTGAAAGTGACTGTAAAGATTGAATAACAATCGTTGTGGCCATTATGAGGGGCACCCACCACCCCTACATTGGGTTCATGAAATCCTGGTTCTGTACAAATGCTGTGCCCATTATAAGCGATTCCCACCATCCCTTTGCTGAGTTCCCAGGTCTACACACCTGCTGTGCCCATTATGAGGGGATCCCACCATTCCTGCATTGAGTTCCTGGGTCTGCACACCTGCTGTGTCCATTATGAGCGGCTCCCACCATCTCTGTGCTGATTTCCTAGGTCTACACACCTGCTGTGCCCATTATGAGGGCTCCCACCATTCCTGAGCTGAGTACCCAGGTCTGCACACCTGCTGTACCCATTATGAGGGGCTCCCACCATCCCTGCATTGAGTTCCTGGATCTGTACATCTGCTGTGCCCATTTGAGGGGTTCCCACCATCACTGTGCTGAGTTCCTGGGTCTGTACAACTGCTGTGCCCATTTCAGGGGTTCCATCCATCACTGTGCTGAGTTCCCGGGTCTGTACACCTGCTGTGCCCAATAAGAGTGGCTCCCACCATCCCTGCATTGAGTTTCTGAGATCTGTACAACTGCTGTGCCTATTATGAGGGACACCCACCATCCCTGATGGACCTCTTATTTATTTTATATCATGGAGACTTTAACAGGAGGAGCTGGAACACAAATATGGTGGGAACCATCCTAAACCACATACTTTCCATTCAATCAATTTTGATTGGCTGTGGCAGAATTGTATTCATTGTTTCTGATTGGTGGAACAAATTACTTGTAGAATAAATGATCATTTTCAATGGGTTGTTTCTATAAGATCGTATTTTCAATCGATACATCAAATCGATCGATCGTTGCATTGTTCGATGTTTTGTTTTCAAGTAATGATGAAACGCCTGTCTGCGATCGCTCATACCTAAATCAACCACAGTTTACAAAATAAGATGCAACAAAAGATAAAGAAAGTTAAAACAAATATTTTATTCAAAATTAATTGCAATTGTTTATAGAACTAAATGCCGTTGATTTAGGGTTCCCATCTACTTAAACAACCTTACACCCTTACACCCTTAGAAACGTAAACACCTGTAGTTGATCTAGAGCAAGGCAAAAAAATATATTGCATGATCCAATTTACTGTAATGGAAAAAAGTCATCCCAGCCGCCGATGGGATACTCCCTGGATTACCATTCTGCAGGTTTATTTATTATACATATAAATTGTCAGTGCGTTTAGAAAATTAGAAATCCATTTAGATTGGATTGCTGTATTGAATAATTTCCTGCACAGAAAATAGGTCGGCGATGCCAGACATATAGCTCTCCAAACAGCAAAGCTGATGGTTCATGCATGATTGGAGAGCTGTAGCTCTGACTCAGCAAGGTGTGTGCCAGACATTTGCAGGGAGACCACTGCTTCCACACAGAGAGCAAGAGCCATACTCTGCAGCATGGTGGCAAGGGACAGGCTTTTATAATCAGAAACAGACTGTCAAGGTGCCCATACACCTGCCGATTATCGTACGATAATCGCTGGTGATCCCGCGATCGTACGATATTCGGCAGGTGTATGGGCAGCGTGCGACCTCTTCTACTGTAAGGTCGCACGACATTCGTCTTCCGAGCAAGCTTGAAAACCTGCCGAAAATCGTTTGATTTTCGTCGGGTTAGCGGCGTGCTCGGGAGACGATCATCGCTCAGCGGGGCGGGCGTGCGATGATCGCAAGTAGTACGATCTGCCTGTCCAAGATGGGCAGATCGTAAGAAATTTTAATTACCTTACAACCACCGCACAACGAAAGCCGTGCGATGGTTGTAAGGTGTATGGCCAGACTTTGCACATCTTTTGTGTTGATGCACCTGAAATGTATTTAGTTGATGTAAACAAAAGAGTTCAGTTGTCCTGTAATCATTCCTCACCATGTGGAACTGAGCGCTAGTTCACACCATCTTCAGTGTGTTCCAGCCCGATTGTGGCCGGAATGCACTGGATCGCATTCCGGCTGGCTCACTTTGTTTTGGGGCGGGAGTGGGTGTGGTGGTCGCAATGTGATCGGCTGCAGGGGAATGTGCGGCGCATTAGTGCCTGCGTTCTGGTCCGGTGCAGTCAGAAAAAATAGTGCATGCAACTGAGACAATGAACATATGGAGTGCAAACGTCAGGATGAACCTGAATATATAGAATGCAGTGGTCAGGAGTTAAAAATATATAGAGTGCTGGGTCAGGAAATTAGAATATATATTTTGAAGGGGTCAGGAATTTAGAATATAAAGAACGCAGAGGCCAGGAGTTTAGAATATATAGAGTGCAGGGATCAGGAGTTTAGAATATATACAGTACATGGATCAGGAGTTTAGACTATATAGAGTGCAGGGGTCGGGATGAACCTAAAGATATAGAATGCAAGGGTCAGGTGTTTAGAATATATACAGCGCATGGTTCATGAGTTTAGAATATATACAGTGCAGGGTTCATGAGTTTAGAATATATACAGTGCAAGGGTCAGGATGAACCTGAATATATAGAGTGCAGGGGTCAGGCATTTAGAATTTGTAGAGTGCAGGTTTGTAGAGGTCAGGAGTTTAGAATATATACAGTGCAGTGGTCAGGAATTTAGGGGTCTATTCACTAAGTTGCCGTAGGCCGCCTACCTCTGTGGTACCGAGCAGAATAGAAAAACAGTTTAAAAAGCAGTAAACAATTAAATACCCTGTTTCCCCGAAAATAAGACCTACCCCGAAAATAAGGCCTAGTACTATTTTTGGGAATTGCTAAAATATAAGACCTACCCCGAAAATAAGACCTAGTTGTGACCATTCCCGGGGCCGGTGGTGGCATAAGGGGGGAACTTGAAGAGCCGCGGGAGAGAATCAGCGGTGCCAACGAAGCCAGCTCTAGAGGTAGCAAGGCGGGACCGGAGGGAGCAGAGCCGCATAAGCCGATGCTTCCTCTATACTGTAGCGTCGGCTCCTGTCACAGGCGGAGTGATACCAAATGCACTCCGCCTGTGAGGAATCGATAGCGAAAGTGAGCTTCGCTCATTCTAACCAGCGATTGGTTACCAAATTGCTCTTGGAAAGGTACGGCACCCCTGATTGCCCTGATCACCATATTCTTAACTTTGTCAGTTTGGATTATTTAATTTGGATTTGCGTTAACTTTGGATTGTTGTACATTAAAAAAAAAAATAAGACCTACCCCGAAAATAAGACCTAGTGTGTTTTTTTGAGCCAAAAAAATATAAGACAGTGTCTTATTTTCGGGGAAACACGGTAGAAAACGATTGGGCGGAGCTAGCAGTGACAGCTAGCTCCGCCCAACAGTTTTCTATTGGCTGGGCGGTTCTGCTGCCGTCAGAATTAAAAAAATAAAATACAAATTCACCCCCTCTGCTGATTGACAGCAGCAGTGGGCGGGTGCAATAGCTAGTTTGCTATTGGCTATTGCAAATTGAAATAGCCAATAGGAATCTAGCTATGCATTCCTATGGTGATTTTTTTTTTGTATTATTCTGACGGCAGCCAACGGCTCCGATGTCAGAAGAAAAAAAAAACGAGCAGGGAAAGGTTTACCCTGCTCGATCGAAGTGAACCTTTCTGGGAGAAAGTGTTTCTCTCCCGGGCGGCTGGGAGTCGTATTAGACCCCCAGAGCGTCCGGGAGAGTAATGACAGATAACCAGGAACACAATCTGTCATTACACAATGAGAACACGGCGAGGCCGCTTTCAGTGTGTAACCAGGGACGCTGATCTCTCTGAAAGTGGCCGGAGCCAGCCGTGAGCACTGGCTCCCCCCAGCTGTCAGGAGTAGGCTGTCGGCCGGCCATTCGGGCCAGCTTCGGCTTTCACCGCGGCTCAGTCAAGCGAGGCATATGCCTTCGGCTCGACTGAGCCACTCGGCCAACTTCGGGAGCTGTATCGGCTATAGTGAATAGCCCGTATAGTAGAACCGAAGGGGTCCTGGGGCTGAAGCTAGCCGAAGGATCAGCCGAAGCAACGGCTAGATCCTTCGGCAGCTTAGTGAATAGACCCCTTAGTATATAAAGAGTGGACGCTTTGGTCAGGAGTAATTAATTCCAATATAGCAAGAAGAGTGCACGGGGTCTGGAGTTTAGAATATATACATTGCAGGGGTTGAGAATTTATAGTATAGATGTAGTACAGTGGTCAAAAATATGTCATGTACAGCCCAGCATAGAAAGTGCAGTGGTCAGGGGTATATAGTACAGTACATAGACCATAAGTATGTAAGATACAACAGTAAAAAGTATGTATCACTCACAACGAAGAGCATACAGAGTATGGTCAGGAGTATGTAATGTGCACTGTATGTTACATATTCATGACTGCTGCAATCTGTATGCTATATTTTAAGAAGTGCTGGACCTAGAGTGAAATGCTTCAGATTGTTCCTGCTGGCTGTAAATAAAGAAGACTTTAATTTGTATTCCGGTGTGTGACATTCCTATTCTATCATTCTTAATCTGTACATTCTCCTGACTACTACCCCTATATAGTGTGCTATACATTTTATAATCCTGACCCCTGCTCTCTTTACACGAGGCTGTATGTTACATAATCCTGACCACTACACTCTGTAAACTGTGCTGGACATTACATACATCTGACCAAAAATATTACCTAAAAAGAAATGTGCAGTCCTCTGAAGTCCATATTTCTGATATAAGTTATATAAACATAACCCTATAAAACAATAATAAACATATGTGCAAATATATAGTGCAAATAACTATGTT